TGGCTAATTTTTGTGTTTTTAGTGAAGACAGGGTTTCATTGTTGGCCGGGCTGGCTTTGAACTCCTGATCTCAAAGTGATCCAGCTGCTTTGACTTCCCCAAAGTGCTGGGATTACAGGCGTGAGCCGCCGCACTCAGCCAGGTGCCAAGAAATTTTATGCATTGATCGTTTGTTGTTAGAAATGATCTATTTGCACATTTTTAGTCAGTTTATATTTAAGAAATTACAGGAATACTTACACACCAGGCTGTAACTTAGTGTTGGCTTTGAAGATACGGAGTTAGAGACAACATTGTCATTCCCAGAGATGCAGAATTTGAAGTGGAATTTTACAAACCTTGGCTGGCATGGATAGGGGAGAGAAAAATTTGGAAAATTACTTTTAATGACTTCTACAGATTACCTATTTGTTTATTTACTTATTTAGAGACAGGGCCTGGCTCTAACACCCAGGCTAGAGTACAGTGGTGTGATCTCAGCTCACCGCAACCCCTGCCTCCTAGGCTCGAGCCATCCTCTGACCTCAGCCTCCTGAATATCTGGGACTACAGGTGTGCACCTGTAGTGACTAATTTTTGTATTTTTGTCTGACTAATTTTTGTATTTTTTTGTAGAGACAGGGTTTCGTCATATTGCTTAGGCTGGCCTTGAACTTGTGAACTCAAGTGATCTGCCTGCCTGAGCATCCCAAAGTGCCCAGCCTTATTACCTTTTTATTGATTAATTAATTTATTTATATGAGATGGAGTCTTGCTCTGTCGCCTAGGTTGGAGTGCAGTGGTGCAATCTCAGCTCACTGCATCCTCTGCCTCTGGGGTTCAAGCAGTTCTCTGACTCAGCCCCCTGAGTAACTGGGATTCCAGACACTCGCCTGGTTAATTTTTATATTTTTAGTAGAGACGGGGTTTCTTTCACCATCTTGGCTAGGCTGGTCCTGAACTCCTGACCTCGTGATCCACCCGCCTCGGCCTCCCAAAGTGCTGGGATTACCATTGTGAGCCCCCATGCCCGGCCGAGATCACCTTTTATGAAATATTTTAACGTACAGAAGAGAATAGAACAAAATATAACGAACACTAACCCACTATTCAGCTTTATCAATTCTTCGTTTTCTGCCATATTTTTTCCCACCTTTTTATTTATTTATTTTGAAAATGAAACCTCAAGGCCGGGCGCGGTGGCTCAAGCCTGTAATCCCAGCACTTTGGGAGGATCACGAGGTCAGGAGATCGAGACTATCCTGGCTAACACAGTGAAACCTCGTCTCTACTAAAAATACAAAAAAAAAAAAAACTAGCCGGGCGAGGTGGCGGGCGCCTGTAGTCCCAGCTACTCGGGAGGCTGAGGCAGGAGAATGGCGTAAACCCGGGAGGCGGAGCTTGCAGTGAGCTGAAATCTGGCCACTGCACTCCAGCCTGGGCGACAGAGTGAGACTCCGTCTCAAAAAAAAAAAAAAAAGAAACCTCAGACACAAAGTTACCTTATTTATGAATGTCATGGTAATAATTTGTTTTCTCATAAATATTTGGGTATATTATGTTTGGTATTTTGGCACATAGTTTATTAAGAAATTTCTGAGTTTTTAGTTCTCCGAATTGCATAATAAGCTGCTGAGTTTTATGGAATCTGATGTCTTAATTTTATGAATCACATGGTGTATGTGTAAATGTGCTGCAGTTTGCAATGTGTTAACAAAGCCCATTAGCTTTTTGGACTTTATATCCATAGTTTTCAGCAGACAGAAAACAATGCCTGATTTGCATATAAACATTTAATTGTACTGCCTATAAGAAGTTCAGTAATAAACTTCCCTTAGGATTAATTAACTACAAACAACTGCCTAGGCCCAGGAGATTTTGGGCTGGGTAATTTTGTTACTAAATTTTAATAAGAATCTAGTCATGATTTACATGGATTTCATACCAACACTATTTCAGTATTTTATGAACCTTTGTAATTGGAAACTCTGATGCTAATCAGCAGGTACATAAAATCAGTAGGTAAAATTCAGTAGCGGAAATTAGTTCCTGAATAAATGTTATCCAGATGAGGAACTAGTTGCTGAAACTTTAGGATGGAAAAGTTCTTTAGACGGAAAATAAGAGAGATGCTTGAGAAGGCGGAAAATGCAAGTTGCACAATATGTGTAGTGTGCAGTTTTTATAAAACAGCACCCCTTTCCTATTTTTTAGTTGTGTATGAGGTAGAGGAAAGTATAAAATGATGCTTTAAATTGGAAAATTTGGTAGGAGTGGGCTGGGGTTGGAAATGGGAGGGGTGAAGGGCCAGGTAAAATAGTTTCCTAGGGTGTTTGTTAATGAGGCAGAATCCTGGGCTTCACAGCCTGAGTTGGAGGTTTGGAGTTAGTGTATCCAAGACCTAGTATTCCACCTTTGTAACAGGTGCACCAGGTCCTTTCTTTGTACGTGGACCTTAGTCTATACTAATGCTGTATAGGAGATTGCAGACTGTCCTGATTCACCCATTTGTTTCTTGCCTAAATCCTCATGGAAGTAGCATTTGTGGTCCTTTTACAAAAACCTATTTAGGTAAAAGTGATAAATGTACCTGTGGTTTTAAAAAAAAAAGCCCGAAGCTGGGCGTGGTGGCAGGCACCTGTAATCCCAGCTATTTGGGAGGCTGAGGCAGGAGAATCGCTTGAACCTGGGAGGCGGAGATTTCAGTGAGCCGAGTTCGGGCCACTGCACTCCAGCCTGGGTGACAAGAGCAAAACTCTGTCTCAAAAAAGAAAATGCCTGAAGGGGCTGGGAGTGGGGCAAATGTAGATTAAGTTTTTCAAAATATAAAACTACGAACAGAAACAAAAGTAGAGATCATAGTAAAAAGAACCACACTGCTCAAGTGAGGATATTTTTGGCTGCCTGGGCTGCTGTAATGGTTTGGGGAGAAAGTAACATCTGTGCATGTAGTGCTGCTGTGTAACACAATACACTATGAGAATTTTGAGATCTGATCACAAACTGGGGCTGCTAAATTCAGCATTAAAACTATTCTATCATTTTGAGTTTCTTTCTTTCTGTTTCTTTGTTTCTGAGACAGAGTCTCACATCCAGGCTGGAGTGCAGTGGCAGCAATCATGGCTCACTGCAGCCTTGACCTCCTGGGCTCAAGCAGTCCTCCCACCTCAGCCCCCCAAGTGGCAGGGGACTATAGGTTTGCCACCATGCCTGGCTAATTTTTGTAGTTTTTGTAGAGATGGGGTTTTGCCATGTTGCCCAGGCTGGTTTTGAACTCCTGGGATCAAGTGATCTGCCCACCTCAGCCTTCCAAAGTGTTTGGATGACGTGTGTGAGCTACCGCGTCCCGCCTCCAGTTTCTGAGACCTGCTCCTGTTCCTTTCTTATGTGGAAATGTGACCCAGCTGTGCCTTAGACTAGATAAGGACATTTTGTTATCCTGCACATCTATATTGAGGAACTATAGAGGGCTTTCTCCCTTAGCTGGGAGGTTTGACAAATGCAGGATGCTATTTGAATCTTTAGCTTTTGATTCATGCAGCCAGCAATTGAGCTTATTTATTTATTTATTGAGATGGTGTTTCGCTCTTGTTGTCCAGACTGGAGTGCAATGGTGTGATCTCGGCTTACTGTAACCTCCGCCTTCCGGGTTCAAGTGATTCTCCTGCCTCAGCCTCCTGAGTAGCTGGGATTACAGGCGCCTGCCACCATGCCCAGCTAAGTTTTGTATTTTTAGTAGAGACAGGGTTTTACCACATTGGCCAGGCTGGTCTCGAACTCCTGGCCTCAGGTGATCTGCCCGCCTTGGCCTCCCGAAGTGCTGGGATTGCAGATATGAGCCACTGCGCCCAGCCTAATTTTTATTTATTTATTTATATTTTTGAGATGAGTTTTGCTCTCTTTGCCCAGGCAAGAGTGCACTGGCATGTGATCTTGGCTTACTGCAACCTTGGCCTTCCGGGTTCAAGCAGTTCTTCTGCCTCAGCCTCCTGAGTAGCTGGGACTACAGGCGTGCACCATTACACCCAGCTAACTTTGTATTTTTACTAGAGAGGAGGTTTCACCATGTTGGCCAGGCTGGTCTCGAACGCCTGACTTCAGGTGATCTGCCCGCCCTGGCGTCCCAAAGTGATGGGATTACAAGCATGGACTGCCACGCCCGGCCAGCAAGTAAGCTTTTTAAAAGTGCCTGGTATCAAAGGGCTTAATTCAGCATGGGCTGGCAAGAATTTAAACAGCTATTTGTCAGGCCATAGAAATCTTTTGCAATCAAAACTATTTCTTTATACATCTATGTACTATTTATATTATTAAAACAAAACATTGCTTTGCAAAATTAACCTGGTGTCAGGAAAGACTACAAAATGGAAGACTAGTCTGTATTTAAAGAAGAGCAAAGAGAGTGACAACTAAATGCAGTATAGGGTGCTTGATTGGATCGTGGGTTAAAAAAGAACATCTGTAAAGGCTGTTACTAGGGCAGCTGGGGAAATTTGAAGCTGGGTTATATGTTAGATGATATCTTATAACGATTTTTGGGGTTTTTTTTTGAGAGACAGAGTCTTGCTCTGTCACCCAGGTTGGAGTGTAGTGGTGTGATCTCCGCTCACTGCAACCTCCGCCTCCCGGGTTAAAGTGATTCTCCTGCCTCAGCTTCCCAAGTACCTGAGACTACAGGTGCATTGCCCCCACACCGAGCTAATTTTTGTATTTTTTAGTAGACACGGGGTTTCACTATATGTTGGCCAGGCTGGTCTCGAACTCCTGACCTCAAGTGATCCGCCCACCTCGTCCTCCCAAAGTGTTGGGATTATAGGCGTGAGCCACGGCGCCCAGCCTATCATGATTTAATTTCTAGAGCATGCTTATGCTGTTGTGATTACTAGTCTCTTATATGGTATAATTATGTACATTTTCTGTATTTAAGAGAGTATTTTGATAATTACCTAGTAAAGAAATGCATTGTGTTGGGAATTCTTTTGGAAAGTGAAATTAAGAAAGTCTGTATCATCTTTTTATAGATATTGAAGCACAGATTCGAGAAATTCAAGGCAAGAAGGCAGCTCTTGATGAAGCTCAAGGAGTGGGCCTTGATTCTACAGGTTATTATGACCAGGAAATTTATGGTGGAAGTGACAGCAGATTTGCTGGATACGTGACATCAATTGCTGCAACTGAACTTGAAGATGTAAGTTACAAATTATGTACAAGAGGCAGTTTTTTTTTTTTTTTGAGAGAGAGCAAGAAATATGAATAACTTTTGTTTCAGCCATCTGGTTTAATCTGGAGAAACATTTTTGGGATTTTTTTTTTTTTTTTTTTTTGAGACAGAGTCTCGCTCTGTCGCCCAGGCTGGAGTGTGGTGGCTGGATCTCAGCTCATTGCAAGCTCCGCCTCCCGGGTTCACGCCATTCTCCTGCCTCAGCCTCCCGAGTTGGGACTACAGGCACCCGCCACCTCGCCCGGCTAGTTTTTTGTATTTTTTAGTAGAGACGGGGTTTCACCGTGTTAGCCAGGATGGTCTCGATCTCCTGACCTCGTGATCCGCCCATCTCGGCCTCCCAAAGTGCTGGGATTACAGGCTTGAGCCACCGTGCCCGGCCATTTTTGGGATCTTTTGAGGATAAAACTACCGGAGGTATCCTCTCTAAGGTTCAGAAACTTCACTGGAAATGCTTTGTTCTGAGAATTTTTGGTAAAGACTAGTTTGTTTATCCAGTGAAGCACCTGCCAGCCATTACCGTTATAAAGTAAACAGTAAGGCCGGGCGCGGTGGCTCAAGCCTGTAATCCCAGCACTTTGGGAGGCCGAGACGGGCGGATCACGAGGTCAGGAGATCAAGACCATCCTGGCTAACCCGGTGAAACCCCGTCTCTACTAAAAAATACAAAAAAATCTAGCCGGGCGAGGTGGCAGGCGCCTGTAGTCCCAGCTACTCGGGAGGCTGAGGCAGGAGAATGGCGTGAACCCGGGAGGCGGAGCTTGCAGTGAGCTGAGATCCGGCCACTGCACTCCAGCCTGGGCGACAGAGCGAAACTCCGCCTCAAAAAAAAAAAAAAAAAAGTAAACAGTAAAGTAAATCCCTGCCATTACTTATCAGCTCTATCTAGAGTAGCCTGGGTGAGAAGTGACTTAATTGTAAATAGCCATCTGTCCTTGTGACTTGATTACTGATTGTACTTGATACTGTTTTTTTCCTCTTGGTATCTTAATGTGAATGGATTTTCTTTTCTCTTTTTTTTTTTTTAGACAGTCTCGCCCTGTCGCCCAGGCTTGAGTACAGTGGCGTGATCTTCGCTCACTGCAGCCTCGGCCTCCTGGGTTCAAGTGATTCTCCTGCCTCAGCCTCCCGAGTAGCTGGGATTACAGGCGCCTGCCACCATGCCTGGCTGATTTTTGTATTTTTAGTAGAGATGGAGTTTCTCCATGTTGGCCAGACTGGTCTTGAACTCATGACCTCAGGTGATCCACCTGCCTCGGCCTCCCAAAGTGCTGGGATTACAGGCTTGAGCCACTGCGCCCACCCTGGAATTCTTCTTAGTACTGATATTGATGAGCTTTTCATGTCTGTTTCAATTACTATGGAAGAGGGGTGCCTTTCATTTTGATATCTGTTCCCTCAAAGCATTTTTTATGTATTCCAGGTAGCTTATATTTTATCAGACCATTCCAAACTCCAAATTTGGTGATTCAGTTAGAGATAAACTTTGTATATAGATTATCAAACTTTTTTTTTTTTTTGTCTCGCTCTGTCACCCAGGCTGGAATGCAGTGGTGTGATCTCGGCTTACTGCATGCTCCGCTTCCTGGGTTCATTCCATTCTCCTGCCTCAGCCTCTAGAGTAGCTGGGACTACAGACGCCCGCCACCACGTCCAGCTAATTTTTTGTATTTTTAGTAGAGACAGGGTTTCACCGTGTTAGCCAGGATGGTCTCGATCTCCTGACCTCGTGATCCGCCTGCCTTGGCCTTCCAGAGTGCTGTGATTACAGGCGTGAGCCACCGCGCCTGGCCCAAACTGGTTACTTTTAATTTTTTTTAATTTTTGGATAGGTGATGTATATGTCTTCCTTTTTTTTTTTTTTTTTTTTTTTTACTATAAGTTCTAGTGTACATGAACACAATGTGCAGGTTTGTTACATATGTATACGTGTACCATATTGGTGTACTGTACCCATTAACTCATCATTTACGTGAGGTCTATCTCCTAATGCTATCCCACCCCCCTCCCCACCCCATGACAGGCCTTGGTGTGTGATAGTCCCCATCCGTGTCTAAGTGTTCTTATTGTTCACTTCCCACCTATAAGTTAGAACATGTGGTGCCAAACTGGTTATTTTTAAGAAATTCAAGTCACATTTTACTTTATAGTTGGCTCTCTCTTTCCCTTTTTTTTTCTTGAGAGAAATTTAAAAGAAATTCAAGTCACATTTTACTTTATAGTTGGCTCTCTCTTCCTCTTTTTTTTTCTTGAGAGAAATTTAAAGTCCCAAAAGGTGAAATTTCTAGAAGCCAGTGGTAGCCTAGTTAGCACTTTATTTGGGGATCTCATACCCTAATGGTAAAATAAAGTGATAGCTCTATGTTTCAGAAACTGAGGGGGAAATTGTCACTTTATTTTTAAATAAAATAAGTGAGTTGTTAAGATCTGGAGAATTACCCCGTGTTGCATTTTTTATTTTTTATTTATTTTTATTACAATAGAGATGAGATCTCACTATGTGTGGTTTTGTTTTTTGGAGACAAAGTCTTGCTCTGTTGCCCAAGCTGAAGGCAGTGGCCAGATCATGGCTCCCTGCAACCTTCGCTTCCCAAGTTCAAGCAATTTTCCCACCTCAGCCTCCTGAGTAGCTGGGACTACATATACACACCACTATGCCTGGCTAATTTTTGTATTTTTTTGGTAGAGACAGAGTTTCACCATGTTGCCCAGACTGGTCTTGAACTCCTGGGCTCAAGCAGTCCCCAGCCTCGGCCTCCCAAAGTGTTGGGATTACAGATGTGCGCCACCTTGCCCAGCTGGGTCTCTGTTGCCTAGGCTAGTCTCAAAACTCCTACACTCAAGCCATTCTCCCACCTTGACCTCCCAGACAGTTGTACTTTTTATACTAGAAAAGTAACAGTATAACGTTGTTCTGTTTAAACATACTACTAGGGGCAAATACATTTAAAATTAAATGTTTGTTTCAATGGTTGTTAAATTGTGTTAAAAAATGAGTTAAAAGTAGAAAGTTCTAAAATAAGCTGTAGTTATCAAATTGAAAAAACATTAAAATTAAATGCTCAGGTTTTTCTAGTCCATACCTACTTAATCTTAATTGACTTCTATAGAAGATATTCCCTGCTTAATCGTTTTAAAAATAAAGATAGCTTTACTGAATTGAATTTAATACGTTTTTGAAGTGAAAGAAGACCAATTTTGTTTGTAAGTTTTATGAAGGAGGGCTTAGACATCACACTGTCAGTAGATCTTTTGATTTCATGTTGAATCTTTGCATATTCTTTCTAATTTTTAAGTTCTGACATTTTGTTTATGGCTTTTTGGGGGGTTTTCATTGCAGGATGACGATGACTATTCATCATCTACGAGTTTGCTTGGTCAGAAGAAGCCAGGATATCATGCCCCTGTGGCATTGCTTAATGATATACCACAGTCAACAGAACAGGTGACCTTTTATTTTAAAAGCATAGTTTATTCAGCTAAAGAAAAGTGAATGTCTGAGTTCCCATAGAAACCCATAAATTTTAGGATGCTTTAAGGAGAATTATAAATAATAATTTATTTTGTAAAGGTGTAATCTTCTTTTTTGACACAAGGTCTTGCTGTCTTGCTCAGGCTGATCCCAAACTCCTGGGCTCAAGCATTCCTCCTGTCTCAACCTCCCAAGTAGTTGAGATTATACACACAGGCCATCACGCCTGGCTGTAATCATGTAGTGAAGCATTGAACTATGGAAATGTGGATATGTATATTACCTTGTTTCCATATGCCTCATTTTTTTATATTAACATTTATCTGTGAAGCAGTACAGAAGATTAGTAGACATGTATTAAACATTTGTGCTTTACAGTGTTCTGATTTTTGTTTATGATATTCTGCTTTGTTATTTTAATAAAGTGGATATTAAGTGAGACATACCTCTTTTCAGTATGATCCATTTGCTGAGCACCGACCTCCGAAGATTGCCGACCGGGAAGATGAATACAAAAAGCATAGGCGGACCATGATAATTTCCCCAGAGCGTCTTGATCCTTTTGCAGATGGTAATTCTTTCCCACTTTTCTATAAGTGTTCAGAAATTTATTTGTATTAAGTTGTCTTTAGCCCTTTGATTTTTTTTGGCATGCTTCTGAATTTGCTTTTCTTTTTAAAAATCCCCCCTACTATAGATTTGTATAGATTTGGTTGAAGTCACAGATGCCATATTCTTCATCTTTATAATGCAAGTTTTCTTTCCAGGTAGAAGGACAAGAAAAAAATGAGCCAATGCCATAGAAACGCAAAGGGTTAAAGGTTTTACTTTTACTTTTGTTTTGGGTACGCTTTCTATACTTGGAACAAATGTGTTTTTCTGCTCAAAATACTTTCAAATTATTGAAAGTTTTCATTCCAAATCCTAGATGTTTAGGATTGTTACCCTTGAGAAACTGTTTCTCACACTAGAACTCCCCCCATAGTGCTCTAAATATAACTTAGTAAAGGCACCTACTTTGCTCTAAGCATACTTAAAGTTAAAACAAAAGTATGTATACAAAGAGTGTGATATTTTTAATAGTTGGAGTCTGTTTTGCTAATTTTAGTGTGCAAGTCAGCACAAGGGGCATAGTGAGCCTGTGGAAGCTTTCCTCAGGTGAGTGAGTTTCACAATCAAAATTAGGTGCCTGTTTCTTAAAATTAGATTCTGCTGCAGGTTTACATACTAGATTTTCAGCCTGCATGAATTAGTAGGGATATTCTTTTTTTACTTGCATAATTGTAATTGATTTAAACATGTATGCCAGAATTCACAGGCCCATACTAACTGTCCTTAATTTCTTTCCTACAGCAGTACTGCTATATGCCAGTCCTGTCTGCATTCTTAAGGGTGCAGTTCAACACATCCTCTCTAGATTATGGTGAAAAAGTATTCCAAAGGAAGTCTTATCAGAGCTAGTGTCAGAAAGAATGACACTACCAATTGGGCATGATCTTCAGCATAGGAAATGTCTTAGAATTTTATTATTTTTTCCTAAATTGTGATGCTATACCACTTGTATAGCTAGTTACCACATTTCTAAAGCATAATGTGCCTCTGAATCTTGTTATATACTGTTTGGGCTTCTGTAAGATATTTTGAAGTTTGAAAAGCAAATACTGAAACTTTAACCAAGAGACCAACACATCTCTTTGTACACCATGTTGCTTCTGTGTGCATCATAATAACTGGTAGAAGTAATATATTTCAAGTAATATGTTTCCAGTTTTAATTTATGCTTTCTAAGAAATAAAAATATGTTTTCTGGGTCAAAAAACTTAAAGCATGAAGCCCTTTTTAGTAACGTGACATCAGAATAAGATTATAGGTATATTTTTAAAATCAGATTTTCTAAACTACAATTGTTTTAGAACACTGTATGAAGAACGTATCTAGTCATAGTTATTTGTAGTCAGGATTTTAACAACTTGCAACAGGTAATGTTTTGAATATAAATATCTTTCCAAAGTGTTACTAATGGTAAAGAGATAATTTTCTAGGCTTCTATTCTGCTGCTTGAAGTCAGAACTGCTGATGGAGACAAAGGCACGAAAGTGTACGTATTCCGGATTAGCAACCCAGGAACCCATCACTTCTGAAGACTCTAAACTGTGCTGTCATTTTGTTTTTATATGCATTAAAATATTTGTTTTAAACTGCTGTAGATGTTTGTGTTCAAACAGGTTAAATTGATCAGCAAACTCAATAAAAAGTAAGATGTATAATTATTAAAGTTTTCCATCAAAAAATAATTTAAATGATTATGGAATAACATAATATTTAGAGCAGGGCAGATAAATCAGTTGAACCTGATTATCTTTTATTTATTGTACTCTTTTCCTGTTGCTGTTCTTTTCTGCAGGAGGGAAGACCCCTGATCCTAAAATGAATGCTAGGACTTACATGGATGTAATGCGAGAACAACACTTGACTAAAGAAGAAGTATGTAAACCTGTCTCCTGTTTTAATGGTTATGAAAGAATGTAAATACAGTTGTGATTGACAGACTGTTACGTTTCTTTTTTGCTATTTGCTGCACAAATATTTTAATAGTATTAATAAAAATTAACTGAGAAAGAATCTTACCCCCAAATTATACCACCTTTCAAAATCATTTCTATATCCTTTTCCAGTCCTGGGCTCCTTGGCTGTATATGTATGTATGTGTCTTACAGGGGATTTTTTTTTTTTTTGAGACAGAGTCTCACTCATCCAGGCTAGAGTGCAATGGCGTGATCTTGTCTCACTGCAACCTGCGCCTCCCAGGTTCAAGTTATCCTCCCACTTCAGCCTCCTAAGGAGCTAGGAACACAAGTGTGTGTCACCATGCCTAGCTAATTTTTGTATTTTTAGTAGAGATGGAGTTTCACCTTGTTGGCCAGGCTGGTCTCGAACTCCTGACCTCAGGCGACCTACCCGCCTTAGCCTCCCAAAGTGCTGGGATTACAGGTGTGAGCCACTATACCCAGCCTCCTCCATTACTATTATGAATATATAATAGATTTTATATGTTGAATGAGTTAAATGGAATAGTAAAACCCCATTTTAACAGTATAGAGTGAATTAAATGTGCATCCATTACCACTAAATTATGCGTATTTATATAATTTGTCAGTATAAATAAAACAATTTTACTATTTTTATCTTTTACCATTTTTCTATCTTGTTCCATAGCCTTTTTTTTTTTTTTTGGAGACAGAGTCTCGCTCTGTAGTCCAGGCTAGAGTGCAGTGGCCGGATCTCAGCTCACTGCAAGCTCCACCTCCCGGGTTTACGCCATTCTCCTGCCTCAGCCTCCGGAGTAGCTGGGACTACAGGCACCCGCCACCTCTCCCGGCTAGTTTTTTGTATTTTTTAGTAGAGACAGGGTTTCACCGTGTTAGCCAGGATGGTCTCGATCTCCTGACCTCGTGATCCGCCCGTCTTGGCCTCCCAAAGTGCTGGGATTACAGGCTTGAGCCACCGCGCCTGGCCGTTGCATAGTCTTAATTGCTATTTATATTAGTTTTGAAGAAAACCCTATTTTTCAGTGGAAGCATTATGGTTCTCCATTGTTGACTGAAGATTTTACTTCACCTACAATATATAAACTACAGTGTGCTATGTTACAAATTCTGAACTTGCTTATCTTTTGTTTAGAAAGACAGGCATTATGTAAAATGAAATAAAGACACAGACTTTGGAACCAGCTAGCATAGAAGGGAGACCACTAGTACCATAGAAAGGAGAATGAGCAAAGTATAAAATGGGATGTTAAGTGGAAATGATTGTGCTAATGATAGAAAAATATATTGAAAGCATTTTAAAGGTAAACACTCATTTTTTTTTTTCAGCGAGAAATTAGGCAACAGCTAGCAGAAAAAGCTAAAGCTGGAGAACTAAAAGTCGTCAATGGAGCAGCAGCGTCCCAGCCTCCATCAAAACGAAAACGGCGTTGGGATCAAACAGCTGATCAGACTCCTGGTGCCACTCCCAAAAAATTATCAAGTTGGGATCAGGCAGAGGTAATTTCTTTTTGTTTTTTGTTATTACTGTTTAAAATTTTTTTCTGTTATGGACTGTATTAGTCTGCTTGGGTTGCCATAAAAAGATACCACAGACTGGGTGCCTTAAACAACAGACATTGATTTTTTTCGCAGTTCTTGGAGGCTTGAAATCCAAGATCAGAGTACCAACAGGGTTGGTATTTGTTGAGGGCTCTCTTGCTGTATCCTCACATGGCCTTTCTCTGTGCCAGCAAGCTCTATTGTCCCTGGTCTTCCTATGAGGACATCAGTCTGTTAGATTAGGGCCCCACCCTCATGACCTCATTTGACCTTAATTTACCTCCTTAAAGACCCAGTCTCCAAATACAGCCACACTGGGCGTTCAACATACAAATTTTGAGGGGCATGCAATTTAGCCCATGTCATAGAGTAAGGAAAGTTCTTTTTAGAATATTAAATACAGACCTGTAGGTATGTTACATTGTGGAGGTTAAGTGTGATATAGTGGTCTTCCTTATCTTCTAGATAGATAACTTAAGACCCTCACTACAGGCAGCAAATAGTCAATGCTACATCATTCCCTTGGCCAGCCTACTCTCCTACTTTCTTTTTTGTTTTTTTAAACATTTGTTTTGGAGGTGGAATGCATTGGCTCATGCCTGTAATCCCAGCACCTTGGGGGCCCAGGTGGGAGGATTGGTTGAGCTCAAGGAGTTTGAGACCAGCTTGGGCAACAGAGGGAGACCCTGTCTTTACCAAAAAAAAAAAAAAAAAAAAAAAATTTGCTGGGCATAGTGGCACATGTCTATAGTCCCAGCTACTGGGGTATGGGGCGTGGTGGGGGCTGAGACAGGAGGATCCCTTGATCCTAGGAGGTAGAGGTTGCCTTGAGCTATGATCATGCCATTGCATTCCAGCCTGGTGACAGAGTAAGACCCTGTCTCAAAAAAAAAACAAAATGATGGAGTCTGTAAAATTATTCTTATAAATGTATTTCCTAGTTCTGTAGAAATGGTTATATTAGATGTTTTCTATCATTTAATAATATATACTTGCAGACTAAAAGATACAAGTTTGCATAAATGTTAAACTATCATATGTGCCTTTATTGTGTTTGTCATTAGCCTGAATAGAAAGGCCTTTAAAATGGATTTTTTAGAAAGTACTTGAAAATATTTAATTATTGCTAGAAAAATAAAATATAAAGGGGCCAGGTGTGGTGCTCATGCCTGTAATCCCAGCATTTTGGGAGGCCAAGGCAGGCGGATCATGAGGTCAGGAGTTCAAGACCAGCCTGGCCAACATAGTGAAACCCTGTCTCTACTAAAAATACAAAAAAATTAGCCAGGCATGGTGGCATGCGCCTGTAGTCCCAGCTACTTGGGAGGGTGAGGCAGGAGAATCGCTTGAACCCGGGAGGTGGAGGGTGTAGTGAGCCGAGATTAACGCTACTGCACTCCAACTTGGGCAACAGAGTGAGACTTTGTCTTAAAATAAATAAATAATGAATTAAAGCCACTCTTTGCTTATGTACCATTTCCCTTCCCCTCTTGGAGACTCTTATCATGTACCATTAATTTTTTTCTCCATACTGGATTATCATCATCAGCAAACATGTTTTACCATGCTTTGTCTTAACAACAGCAACAAAAAACCTGCAGAAAACATCTCTTAACCCTCATTCACATCCTCATTCAGCGATAATCCTGTTTCTCTATCTTTTTAGAACAAAGTGCTTTGTTCTTTGTTTTTTTCTTGAGGTAGGGTCTCATTCTGTTGCCAAGGTTGGAGTGCAGGGGCGCAATAATAGCTCACTGCAGCCTCAAATGATCACTGGGCTCAAATGATCCTGGGCTCACTGGGCTCACTGGGCTCACTGGGCTCAAATGATCCTGCCACCTCAACCCCCCAAGTAGATGGGACTGTAGACACGTACCACCATGCCTGGCTAGTTTTTTATTTTTTGTAGAAACGGATCTCACTGTGTTGTCCAGGCTGGTCTCAAACTCCTGGGCTTAAGCAGTGTGTCTGCCTCAGCCTTGCAAAGTGCTGGGATTACAGGCATGAGCCACAAGTGCTTTGAATGAGTTATTTGTGCTTGCTTTCTCTGCTTATTTAGTTCTGGTCTTTGTTTTTCATTTTTTTTTACATTCAATTACCCCATTGTAGAAGAGGAATAATTTATTTCTATATGATTTTAATAATGTTCCCTAATCTTCAGATTCAAATTAACAAATATGTTTGTTAATCTAAATAATTACATATTTATTGATTTATATATGTATATATTTTAATGTTTCTGTAATTCAGTTTTAACGGTGGACTTTTACATGTTGGAAGCAGCAAAGGACTCAATATCATAGTACATTTTGATAGTATTTGATAGGCTTTTTCAGGTCAGTTAATTTAGTTGCTTGCAAATACAAATCAAGCTTGCTCCAGTTCCACAAGGACTCCACCACAGTCTTTTTTTTTTCTTTTGAGACGGAGTCTCGCTCTGTCGCCCAGGCTGGAGTGCAGTGGCCTGATCTCGGCTCACTGCAAGCTCCGCCTCCCGGGTTCACGTCATTCTCCTGCCTCAGCCTCCCGAGTAGCTGGGACCACAGGCGCCCGCCACCTCGCCCGGCTAATTGTTTGTATTTTTAGTAGAGACGGGGTTTCACAGTGTTAGTCAGGATGGTCTCGATCTCCTGACCTCGTGATCCGCCCGCCTTGGCTTCCCAAAGTGCTGGGATTACAGGCGTGAGCCACCGCGCCCGGTCCCTCACCCCAGTCTTTAGGATGGAGAAAAATCACTGGTTTTCCATGTGCTCCTATTTTGACCTCTTCACTTAGACTGCGGATCTTCTTTTTTGTCAAATTCATCACAGTTGCATTAATATTATCCACCTTTGACCTTATCAAGATACACATGAAAATCACAATTAAATTGCCATCAAAATGTTATTCCCCATCTCGATGCAGATGTGATGAATTCCTCCAGCCTTGTTTTTCTGCAGAAAACCTGCAGTTGGACTGTCACATCCCAGTGGATGAAGCAGTTCCATCTTGGTATTTCCCAGGTTGACAAAAACAACAGATACTTCATGTTCAGGAAGAGGGACCGCTTCACTTACCGGGGCCCCCAGAATATTCTTATAAAATGTTGCACGTTTTCCAAATCTGGCACTGCTATGGCTACATGATTGAGTCGACCACGGTTCCACACAGAACCTGCCATTTGATCCAAGGGCCGTGACGTGGAAGAAACTCTTACTGTTGGTATGGGAGCTTGGAGTCTGGAAAAAAAACCCTTTGAGTGTTCCCGACAGAAAGCTGGTCATGCCTGGAGTTCGGCCGAAGTAGTAGTTGTTTTTACAGGACTTGCTCTCCTTTCTGGTTTCTCCCCAGTCTGGCATTCGCGGCTGCAGCCCTCAGTGCGCGCGCCATTTTGGAAAGCAACCCGCCACGTCCAGACCCGGCGAGGACCGTCAGTTCTAGTCTTACGTAGTTTCTAGTCTTCTTACGTAGTTCTAGTCTACTCCACCTAAAATCTCTTGTCAAGGTCACTTGACCCCTAATTGATAAATTTAAAAAGTGTATTTTCATTTCTCATATGACTTAGCATATCAAGAACATTTGACATTTCTTCATACCCTTTTCTCTCTCAGTCTCTGGGTTTTAGTCGTTCTTGCTTCCCCTCAAAATCTCCTCACTGGTTACTACTCCTTAGTCTTGTTTGCTGGATCCTCATTCTTCTTATCTCCGAACTTTGGGGTATTATAGTAGTGCTGAGTTTTTTGGATTCTTTTCCATCAGTGCTCGATCCCTAGGATCTCATTCTTGTCTTTATATACCATTTATATAAAATAACTCCCAAACTTATAAATCTTTCCTCTGCTTCTGTTCCGCAGACTTGCGTGTTTGTTCAGCCTGGTATTTATTTGGCTGTTCAATGGGCATTTCAAAATCAGTATTTCTGAAAGAAAATTATTGCTTTTTTTTCGCATACGTCTCTTCTCAGTCCTGCTCCCCTGGTCTTTCCCATGTCTGTTTGGCTCAAGCAAAACATTTAGGACCGGGTCCAGTGGCTCATGCCTATAATCCTAGCACTTTGGGAGGCCAAGGTGGGTGAATTATTTGAGGTCAGGAGTTCGAGACCAGCCTGGCCAACATGGTGTATTTTAAAATACAAAAATTAGCCCGGCGTGTTGGCGGGCACCTGTAATCCCAGCTGTTTGGGAGGCTGAGGCAGGAGAATCACTTGAACCTGGAAGGTGGAGGTTGCAGTGAGCGGAGATCGTGCCACTGCACTCCAGTCTTGGCGACAGAGCGAGACTGTGTCTCAAAGAAAAAAAAAACAACAAAAACAACAACAACAACAACAAAAAAACATTTAGGGAGTCATCCTATACTCCTTATTCTCTTATCCCATATCCTACCCATATACATTTTCTTGGCATCAGCTTTAAATATATTAAGGAGCTAGCCACTTTTCATAATCTCTGCCTCTGCCATCCTTGTCTAAATCACTATTAGCTCTAGCCTGGACTGCTATAGATTTAACTTATAAATCAAGAAAAAACCTATCAGATCATGCAGTATTTCCCCAAACCCAGAATTGGGATATACAAAACCTAATACATAATTTCTAATCAATTTAATTTAAGGTGAGGACTTCTCATTTGCTTGGTGATATGTAGGAGGGATATGGTTCTGCTCAATATAAGTAACTACTGGCTTTAATTTTAATTTTAATTTTTGAGACAGAGTCTTGCTGTGTTACCCATGGGTAGCTGGAGTGCGTTGGTGCAACCTCATCTCATTGCAATCTCCGCCTCCCAGACTCAAGTGACTCTTGTGCCTCAGCCTCCCAAGTAGCTGAGATTACAGGCGTGTGCCATCAGGCCCAGCTAATTTTTGTATTTTTAGTAGAGACAGGGTTTCTCCATGTTGGCCAGGCTGGTGCTGAACCCCTGACCTCAAGTGATCCCCCGACCTTGGCCTCCCAAAGTGCTGGGATTACAGTTATGAGCCGCCGTGTCCAGCCAAGTAACTACTAACTTTAATTCTGTGGATGACATTCAGTACTAAGTTTGAGAAAGATAAAGAAGTTTGTCCTGGTAATGTTTAACTGTATGCACATAACTAGACACAAGAGCTGATACCTTTCTTTTTTTTTTCTTTTTTTTTTTTTTTGAGACAGAGTCTTGCTCTGTCACCCTGACTAGAGTGCAATGGCATGATTTCGGCCCCCGTGCACCCTCCGCCTCCTGGGTTCAAGCGAGTCTCCTGCCTCAGCCTACCAAGTAGCTAGGATTATAGGTGCCTACCGCCATGCCTGGCTAATTTTTAGGAGAGACGGGGTTTTGCCATGTTGGCCAGGCTGGTCTCAAACTCCCAACTTCAGGTGACCCACCTGCCTTGGCCTCCCAAAGTGCTGGGATTACAGGTGTGAGCCACTGCGCCTGGCATGAGAGCTGATATGCTGATATCTTTCTTATAGAAACTACAGAGACTTGGCCAGGCACGCTGGCTCATGCCTGTAATCCCAGCACTTTGGGAGGCCAAGCGGGCAGATCACCTGAGGTCGGGAGTTTGAGACCAGCCTGGCCAACATGGTGAAACCCCGTCTCTACTAAAAATGCAAAAAATTAGTCAGGCATGATGGCAGGCACCTGTAATCCCAGCTACTCAGGAGGCTGAGGCAAGAAAATTGCTTGAACCCGGAAGGCAGAGGTTGCAGGGAGCTGAGATCGTGCCATTGCACTCTGACCTGGGTGACAGAGTGAGGCTCTGTCTCAAAATAAAAAATAAATAAATAAATAAATAAATAAATAAATAATTCAGAGACTCAAGACTTTTTTTTTTGTTGTTCTGTTCATTTAATACAACTGTACTCTAGTCATGAATGTAGGAATTAGATAATAGAATTTATTTCCCATCTTTCCTTATAATTCAGCAGGAGGGACAGATGCCAGAATGGAGATTTTAAACGATTCGTGTGCTTTATTTACCTAATCCAGAATTTTTCAACCCTGAGTAACAGTAATATCCTTTTTTTTTTTTTTTTTTTTAGACAGAGTCTCACTCTGTCACCCAGGCTGGAGTGCAGTGGCGCGATCTTGGCTCGTTGCAACCTCCGCCTCCTGGGTTTAGGCAATTCTCATGCTTCACCCTCCTGAGTAGCTGGAATTACAAGTGCACACCACCACACCCAGCTATTTTTATTTTTTATTTTTAGTAGAGATGGGCTTTTGTCATGTTGGCCAGGCTGGTCTCAACTCCTGGCCTCAATTGATCTGCCTGCCTGGCCTCCCAAAGTGCTGGGATTACAGGCATGAACCACCATGCCTGGCCCTGAGTAGTATCTTTTTAAAGGAAAAACTATTGAGTCTTAAACTTGTTTAATGGTACCATGCAAATTTGCAAACATGAAGGTAGATAAAGTCCTTGTGTCTATAAGAGCTCCCAACTTGCCCAATTTTTTTTTTTCCTTTCTGAGACGGGATCTCACTCTATCACCGCTGCTGGAGTGCAGTGGCATGATCTCGGCTCACTGCAAACTCCGCCTCCTGGGTTCATGCAGTTCTCCTGCCTCAGCCTGCCAAGTAGCTGGAACTACAGGCGCCCTCCACAACGCCTGGCTAATTTTTTTGTATTTTTAGTAGAGACGGAGTTTCACCGTGTTAGCCAGGATGGTCTTGATCTCGTGACCTTGTTGATCTGCCCGCCTTGGCCTCCCAAAGTGCTGGGATTACGGGCGTGAGCCACCTCACCCAGCCAAGAGCTCCCAACTTTAAAACAAATATATAAAGTACATTACATATCCTATGGAATACTTATGAGGCAGTATATAAGTACAAATTTTGTTTTCTTTACACTCTATGCTACTTTGATATGATTCTGTCTTTATTGGTGGAGATTCTTTTGCTATCACATGCGGTCAGTTGTCCAGCTGTTACTCTGTGAACTACTGTGGAACCTTTGATGTTACTTAAACCCACCTCTCAGCCTGGGCAGCATAGTAAGATGCTTCTCTCTCCGAGGAAAAAAAAATTAACCGGGTGTAGTGGTGTGCGCCTGTATGTAGTCTCAGCTACTCAGGAGACTGACATGGGAGGATCGCTTGAGCCTGGTAGGTGGAGACTGCAGTGAGCCATGATTGTGCCACTGCGCTCAACCTGGGTGGCAGAGTGAGACCCTCTGTCAAAAAACAAAGGAAAATCCACCTCTCATCTTTTTTCATTAATCTTACCAGCCTCAGCTAGGGTAATATTATTTGCTACACATGTAACTGTAAATACAAACTGATCTCAAGATTACCCAGGAGGTGGAGCTTGCAGTGAGCCGAGATCATGCCACGGCACTCCAGCCTGGGTGACAGAGGGAGACTCTGTCTCAAAAGAAAGAAAAAAATTACATAGGTAATCTGAAGCATGCTTGTATTAATTAAACACACACAATTGAACAAAACATCAACAGGACTATTTTCTTAGAACGCATGAATTCCTTCTCCCCTAAATATGTGTCTCTAAGCCCCACTTTGAGAAGTACTAATGTAATTAGAGCTGAAAGCCTTCGATTACAGATCTAGATAGAGAAACCTTATTGATTTCCCCCAAAGTCACAGAGCTGTTAATGGCATATCAAAGATTTATACCCAGAATATTTTGTTTTTTTAAGCTGGAACTTTTGTCAATGCTTCGGATTGAAACTTTACATTGTTTTTAATCATAGACATTTGCTAGAAAGTAGGTATATTTTCCTATAAGTAGAGGTAGTGTTCTCTAACTTAATTATAGTACATAGAACTAAAACATTTTTCATTTAAAGTGTTATTTTATGGAAATTTTCTAACTATTTCTATGTGGGTGTGTGAAATAAATTTTTTTTTGCTTTTTTAAGACCCCTGGGCATACTCCTTCCTTAAGATGGGATGAGACACCAGGTCGTGCAAAGGGAAGTGAGACTCCTGGAGCAACCCCAGGCTCAAAAATATGGGATCCTACACCTAGCCACACACCGGCGGGAGCTGCTACTCCTGGACGAGGCGATACACCAGGCCACGCGACACCAGGCCATGGAGGCGCAACTTCCAGTGCTCGTAAAAACAGATGGGATGAAACCCCCAAAACAGAGAGAGGTACTTCTAGTGGAGTATGGGTGTGTGGGTGAAATGTTGAGTGGTATGTTTACAGACTGAAATGTGTTCTGTTTATTCCTGGGTGGACGCATATAAGGGGACAGATTAAGAACAGAACAGATTATATGCTTGTTTTTTTTACTTGAAGAGGTTTAAGATTTAACGAAGAACCTTAGGCTAAAGTTAGTAGGCCGTAACCTTTGATTTTGTTTGTTTCTTTAGAGACAGGGTCTTGCTCACTGTAGCCTTGACATCCTAGGCTCAAGCGATCTTCCCGCCTCAGCCTTCTGAGTAGCTGAGACTATAGGGGCATGCCACCATGCCTGGCTAATTTTTTTTTTTTTTGAGACAGAGTTTTGCTCTTACTGCCCAGGCTGGAATGCAATGGCGCGATCTCAGCTCACTGCAACCTCAGAGACGGGGTTTCTCCATGCTGCTCAGGCGGGTCTTGAACTCTGGACCTCAGATGATCCGTCCCCCTCGGCCTGCCGAAGTACTGGGATTATAGGCGTGAGCCACCGCACCCAGTCCCCGGCTACTTTCTAAATTTTTTTGTAGAAACAATGTTTTGCTTTATTGCCCAGCCTGGTCTTGAACTCCTGGCTTCAGGGGATCTCCTCCCAAGGTGTTGGGATTACAGGCATGAACCATTGTGCCTGGCTTACCCTTTGTTTTTTATTACGGAAAAATGTACCTAACATCAAATTTACTTTTTCGTTGCTCTTGTTGAGACAGAGTCTCACTCTGTCACCCGAGCTAGAGTGCAGTGGTGCACTCTCACCTCACTGCAACCTCTGCCTTCCGGGTTCAAGAGATTCTTTTTTTTTTTTCTTTTTTTGAGATGGAGTCTTGCTCTGTCGCCCAGGCTGGAGTGCAGTGGCGTGATCTCTGCTCACTGCAACTTCCGCCTCCCGGGTTCATGCCATTCTCCTGCCTCAGCCTCCCGAATAACTGGGACTACAGGCGTCCGCCACCACGCCCGGCTGATTTTTTGGTATTTTTAGTAGAGACGGGGTTTCACCGTGTTAGCCAGGATGGTCTCGATCTCCTGACCTTGTGATCCACCCGCCTTGGCCTCCCAAAGTCCTGGGATTACAGGTGTGAGCCACCGTGCCCAGCCAGGTTCAAGAGATTCTTTTGCCTCAGCCTCCTGAGTAGCTGGGATTACAGGCACCCACTACCACACCTGGCTAATTTTTGTATTTTTCGTAGAGACAGAGTTTCACCATGTTGGTCAGGCTGGTCTCAAACAACTTTAAATGGGTCACCATTTTAGGAATATTCTGTTTTAGAACTTGATAGTTTTGAGTATAACTGTTTGAGAATAAAGAATATTATTTTAACAGTAATTAAAATTGTGGTTTTACTCACTCTTTCTTTTTAAAGATACTCCTGGGCATGGAAGTGGATGGGCTGAGACTCCTCGAACAGATCGAGGTGGAGATTCTATTGGTGAAACACCGACTCCTGGAGCCAGTAAAAGAAAATCACGGTGGGATGAAACACCAGCTAGTCAGATGGGTGGAAGCACTCCAGTTCTGACCCCTGGAAAAACACCAATTGGCACACCAGCCATGAACATGGCTACCCCTACTCCAGGTAGAACTCTCTCTCTCATTGGAAATAATGGTTTTTTCCTCCATAAATTATTTAATTTTTTTTCTTTGTGGTATTCTGTGTGCTATTAATGTCAACTTCTAGCAAGAATAAAGAGATATAAAAATTTAAGTCTTGGTTTGCATTTATAATGTAAAAGCAAAATAAATAATAGGGTTGATCTTAATTCTCTTTTATCTCAAAGATATATGTAATAACACAGTCTTGCACTATAGAGTATATAAAACTTTGCTTTTCTTGGTAGGTCACATAATGAGTATGACTCCTGAACAGCTTCAGGCTTGGCGATGGGAAAGAGAAATTGATGAGAGAAATCGCCCACTTTCTGATGAGGAATTAGATGCTATGTTCCCAGAAGGATATAAGGTAGTACATCAAATATGAATGAGATGGTATTTAGGATATGCCTTTATTTTAAATAGTGAAAAAAAATTGATCGAATTTGCATTGGCTTTGCCCAAATTTACTATTGTCATTCCATTCTCTTAGCTATTTCCAGGTATATTTCAGTTCCAAATAGAGATGAAAAGAAATGAACAACATGATTCTATTACTATTTGAAAGACATCTGGAGGACTTGTATACAGGTCTATCAGTTATAGTTTGAGAACTGCTGGTGCTTCAGTTTTCTAGCAGTCCCAGGAATAAGCTTATTTAGATTGTGGTTATTTTACTTGGTGCTTCACCAAGATTTTGTATACTTAAGTTTATGGATTGTCAGTGGACACAAAGAATATTCTTTTTTTTTTTTTTTTTTAAGATGGAGTCTCACTCTGTCACCGGGTTGGAGTGCAGTGGCGTGATTTTGGCTCATTGCAACCTCTGCCTCCCAGGTTCAAGCGATTCTCTTGCCTCAGTCTCCCGAGTAGCTGGGATTATAGGCGCCTAACACTATGCCCGACTGATTTTTGTATTTTTTATAGAGACAGGGTTTCACCATGTTGGCCAGGCTGGTCTTGAACTCCTGACCTCAAATGATCCATCCCTTTCAGCCTCCCAAAGTGCTGGGATTACAGGCGTGAGTTACCGTGCCCAGCCTTCTTTTTACCATATCAATCTAAAATTTATTTTGAACTATAAAATTTTCCAAGTACCTCGTACTCAGGGAGTATTTGTTAGTCTGAAGATAGCCTGTGGTCATATAGCTGACATCATAACCAAGGGGAACCAGATAACTTTGTAAGTCATCAGAGGGCCTTTACAGAGCTTTTTCTGTTAATGACTATTGATTTTTAACAGTTCATGCATATGTTTTTTTTTTTATTTTGTTTTGTTTTAGAGACAGGGTCTCACTGTGTTGCCCAGACTGGAGAGCAGTGGCGCTGACATAGCTCGCTGCAGCCTTGAGCTCCTGGGCTCAAGTGATCCTTCTGCCTCAGCCTCCTGAGTAGCTGGGGCTACAGGCATGCACCACCATACCTGGCTAATTTTTTTATTTTTTGTAGATATGGAGTCTCACTGTGTTGCCAGGCTGGTCCCAAACTCCTAGGCTCAAAGTATCCTCCCACATTGACCTCCAAACTGCTGGGATTGTAGGCATGAGCCACTGTGTCCAGCCTTGTTTTGTTTTTGATCCCTGTTATTTATGTTAGAGTATTTGTTTCAAGTTTGCATGAAGTTTTGCCTTAAAGCTTTTTGTAGCCTCCACACAATGCTGTGGGTATAGATACAACTTACTGTTGACTGCCTGAGTGTCTTTCTCAGTCGTAGTCATTGATTTCCTTAGAGTCACTAGGAGGAAAAGTCTCCCTTAGTGAATCCTACTAATAAGCAACATCCTTACTAGTAATGTAAAAATATAGTAGACCTTTAAATCCTTAATGGTAAGTGATGCCTGTGGACTTGACATTGATTTCCCTAGGTCTCACGTCTATAGAGTATCCACTTTATCCAAAATGCTTAGTGGTCTGCTGGTGCAGACATTAACTAGCAACAAAAAGTATCTGTACAAAGTACAGATAGCATCAATGTAAATTTAACATAATTTAATCTTTAATAGACAACAATTTTAGGCTCACTGGAGAAGACTTGTATAGGTTTATCGATATGCCTAGGAAGCTGTATTTTTTTTCTTTTACTATATATTAAATTATATAAAATAGAGATGGGGTCTTGCCGTGTTGCCCAGGCTGGTCTCAAACTCCTGGGCTCAAGCGTTCCTCCCATCTCAGCCTCCCAAAGTGCTGGGATTACAGGCGTGAGACACCACACCTGGCCTGCCCAGAAGTTGTGTTTTTTTGTTTGTTTGTTTGTTTTTTGAAGTCTGTTACCAGCTTTAAAAAAAAAAAAAAAAAAAATTCTTTGTGATTTTCAGCCTGCATTTTTTGAAATTTTACTTGTTTTGCAAAAGGTTTGATCAGGTGGTGTGTATTTTACAGGGCTTTGGCAAACATTTTGGTTTTAGTTTTTATGCATTTAACTAATTTTTTGTAGAGTTTTACACTTAAAAGATTTTATAGTACAGGAATTTATGTGATATTTTAATACTAAAATGAAACTTTTTATGTTATATGCCCCATATTAGCTTATTTCCATTTTATATAAATACTTATGAAATGTTATTTGCTCGACTAGAGCAGTTTTTTGGAATTGCTGACTCAGATTTTATAATTTTCAAATTTTTAATAATTTGACATTTTGACACACAACATGTTTGAACGTGATCAGTATTTTCTAAGCTCTTCTCTTGTATTTCCTCAGTTCCCTACACCACTGATATAATCAGTTAGCAGATGAGAAGCAGATATTTTAAGTTTCTAATTAAGATAGAAAAGCAAGATAGATGTTGTCTCCAAGCAAATGAAAATCTTATTAGCTAATAAACTAAAATATTTTAAGTGCAAATATTGTTCCTTATGCTGTTTTTTAAGTTAAGAAAATCCTGGCCGGGTGCGGTGGCTCAAGCCTGTAATCCCAGCACTTTGGGAGGCCAAGACGGGTGGATCACAAGGTCAGGAGATCGAGACCATCCTGGCTAACACAGTGAAACCCCGTCTCTACTAAAAATGCAAAAAGCTAGCCGGGCGAGGTGGCAGGTGCCTGTAGTCCCAGCTACTTGGGAGGCTGAGGCAGGAGAATGGCGTGAACCCGGGAGGCGGAGCTTGCAGTGAGCTGAGATCCGGCCACTGCACTCCAGCCTGGGCAACAGAGTGAGACTCTGTCTCAAAAAAAAAAAAGAAAAAAGAAAAAACAAAATCCTAAACTGTCTTATAACTTTTATTAGGTACTTCCTCCTCCAGCTGGTTATGTTCCTATTCGAACTCCAGCTCGAAAACTGACAGCTACTCCAACACCTTTGGGTGGTATGACTGGTTTCCACATGCAAACTGAAGATCGAACTATGAAAAGTGTTAATGATCAGCCATCTGGAAATCTTCCATTTTTAAAGCCTGATGATATTCAGTACTTTGATAAACTATTGGTAAGTGATACTAGCAGAAATAAACTATTACATTTTGTTCCAGAATTATAAATCATAACATTTCAACTTCCCTTAACATTTTTTTCTTTTTACTGTAGGTTGATGTTGATGAATCAACACTTAGTCCAGAAGAGCAAAAAGAGAGAAAAATAATGAAGTTGCTTTTAAAAATTAAGAATGGAACACCACCAATGAGAAAGGTAAGTCTCAGTTTGTTAAATTGTCATGTTTCTTGCTTATTTATTTAATTTTAAAAAAATTTTGTAGTTTTTGTAGAGACAGGGTTTTGCCATGTTGCCCAGGCTGGTCTCAAGTGATCCTTCTGCCTTGGCCTACCTCCTAGAGTGCTGGGATTACAGGTGTGAGGCACTGCACCTGGCCAAGTTTATATTTTTAAAAATGTTTTTAATTTTTTCACCAGGAAATGTAGGCCACAAAATAGTACTGAACTATTGGTATAACCCGCTGGAGTGTGGTCTTTCCTTTACTCTTCCAAGTAGCCCAAATTGGGTAAAGGTTATTTAGAAAGCTTTCCTCACAAAAAAATTAACTTTTGGTAGTGTTATATTTTTGTGTTTAGGAATTTGTAATTACTTTCTTCATCTTTATCAAGGACATAGCATGATGGAAAAAAATTTATGTAGTGTGAAGGATTTAACTTTTTTGCTTGTTTTTATTATTAATATTATATATATATGTTTGAGACAGGGTCTTGCTGTCTTGCCCGGGCTGGAGTGCAGTGGTGCAGGCTTGGCTCACTGCAACCTCTGCCTCTTGGGTTCAAGCAATTCTTCTGCCTCAGCCTCCCAAGTAGGTGGGACTACAGGCGTGCACCACCACGCCCTGCTAATTTCTGTATTTTTAGTAGAGACGGGGTTTCACCATGTTGGCCAGGCTGGTCAACTCCTGACCTCAAATGATTAACCTGCCTCAGCCTCCCAAAGTGCTGGGATTATAGGCGTGAGCCACCATGCCCAGCTGTTTGTTTTTATTATTTAAATACTCCAGGGCTCAAGAGATCCTCCCGCCTCAGTCTCCAAAAGTGTTGGGATTACAGGTGTGAGCCACCATGCCCAGCTGGAGTTAGCACAGAATTCCTTGGTTAAAAAAGCTAGTAAAGATGCTGAAACATGAGATTCTCCATTTCTCAAGGCCTTTAAAATATGCTTAAAGCTTGAAGATAATTAGTGAAATTAGTGAGGGATTATATTAACACTATATGTGCCTTGGAAATGGAAGATACTTTAGGGGAAGTGAAGGCTAATTTGGTACATACCTCTGTAGTTCTTTTGTTCTATTAAATTACTCTTTTGAATTAATATAAAATTTCTATCACAGTAGTTGAAATTCCAGAGTAATTTGGATGGAAATACACTCATGCTGTCTGTGTAAAATGTGTGTAAAAGTAAACACATATTAAATTATGGAAAATCTTCTTTGAGTAATTTGCTCATTCAAAATGCTTGATTGTAAAGAAACCACACCTATTACTCTGCTCTTTTTCCCAGGCTGCATTGCGTCAGATTACTGATAAAGCTCGTGAATTTGGAGCTGGTCCTTTGTTTAATCAGATTCTTCCTCTACTGATGTCTCCTACACTTGAAGATCAAGAGCGTCATTTACTTGTGAAAGTTATTGATAGGATACTATACAAACTTGATGACTTAGTTCGTCCATATGTTCATAAGGTTTGTTCTTAATAGTGTTTCTGATAGTTTTAATAATTTAACTTTTTCAGTTAATCAATGTTAAATTTACATATCCCTCTAGACCTTTTTCTTTGCACCAGTACATATCATACATGTACAAATACAGTTTTATACAGATGTACAGATATTCGTTTTTGTCATCTTTGCCATAAGAGGTTCATATTATTTAATTTTTTCATTTGCTTTTATTGAGATTAGATTAGGATGAGAACATATGTGATTCTGTACTGTGCCAGTTAGTATTAAGAACCACTTTTTTCACCGATGGTAATTATGGTGCAGTATGTTCATAGGGCATATAAGTTATTTCTTTAAAAAATATTGAATATTAGTGTGTCACTAATAGCTCTCTTAAATTTTCATATCTATCTGGAGTTTGGACTTGTGTAATTAAAATTCTTAAACAATTTGTCCCTTGATTAATGAAAATCCTGATAATTCTAAATTTCTTGTATTAATGTTTAATTCTGTACATGAGTATTTCATCAGTAATTGATGTGAAAGTGTAGCTGCTTCTCTTTTTTCTCTTTTTCAGATCCTTGTGGTCATTGAACCACTATTGATTGATGAAGATTACTATGCTAGAGTGGAAGGCCGAGAGATCATTTCTAATTTGGCAAAGGTATTTACATTTAATTTCTAGAGAAGACAGTTTATTTCTGTTTATGGAATTACTTGATTGTGGAAGGAAATGGTTGAAGATTAATATTACCAACTCATGACTGTCCTTTCTTTGTTTACTTTTTAGGCTGCTGGTCTGGCTACTATGATCTCTACCATGAGACCTGATATAGATAACATGGATGAGTATGTCCGTAACACAACAGCTAGAGCTTTTGCTGTTGTAGCTTCTGCCCTGGGCATTCCTTCTTTATTGCCTTTCTTAAAAGCTGTGTGCAAAAGCAAGAAGTCCTGGCAAGCGAGACACACTGGTATTAAGATTGTACAACAGATAGCTATTCTTATGGGCTGTGCCATCTTGCCACATCTTAGAAGTTTAGTTGAAATCATTGAACATGGTAAGTTGTAATGTAACTTTGTCTTTTTTTTTTTTTTTTCTCTTTAAGAGACAGAGTCTTACCTATGTTGCCCAGACTGGACTCAAACTTTTGGGCTCAAGTGATCCTCCTGCTCAGCCTTCTGAGTAGTTGGGACTAGAGGTACACACACAGCCTGTCTACTTTTAATAGGACAGCTGTCCTAAAATTTGGGCTACTGATTTGGGGAGATAAATGGAAAGGTATAACTGTACAAACTATAGATTTTATGATGGGTTTGTAATATTATCTGCTAACAGGCTATGGTTCATATTTTGCTTTTACCTAATTTTAATGTGAACGTATTCTGCAGTTTGGCTAAATAGTTGATATATTGCGAGAATCTGGATGATATTGTGTAACTTAGGTAATGTTGGGGCATAGTTAAAACCTGTGTTTGGTTTTGTAGGTCTTGTGGATGAGCAGCAGAAAGTTCGGACCATCAGTGCTTTGGCCATTGCTGCCTTGGCTGAAGCAGCAACTCCTTATGGTATCGAATCTTTTGATTCTGTGTTAAAGCCTTTATGGAAGGGTATCCGCCAACACAGAGGAAAGGTAAATCCACCAATTACCTTTTGATTTATCTTCATTAAAGTTAAGGTGACATAAATCTAAATTACTAAAGTACATATATTTTTATTTAAAAATAGGGTTTGGCTGCTTTCTTGAAGGCTATTGGGTATCTTATTCCTCTTATGGATGCAGAATATGCCAACTACTATACTAGAGAAGTGATGTTAATCCTTATTCGAGAATTCCAATCTCCTGATGAGGAAATGAAGAAGATTGTGCTGAAGGTAATTATTCCAGATTTGTTAATGTAAACTGGATTTGTTTCATGGTTCTAAGAGAATTTTAAAGTGTTTTTTTAAAACAACAAAAAAACTGTATGTTACACCAGTACTGTTTCATTTGTTTTTAAATTTTATTTTTTAAAATTACGTAATCAGCAGTGAGTAGTCTGTTCATTTCAAGTCAGTTGATTTATTATTATTATTTTTTAACCTTTTAGGTGGTAAAACAGTGTTGTGGGACAGATGGTGTAGAAGCAAACTACATTAAAACAGAGATTCTTCCTCCCTTTTTTAAACACTTCTGGCAGCACAGGATGGCTTTGGATAGAAGAAATTACCGACAGGTAAGCTTTTATTTTAAAAGAATATTCTCAAAAATCCTTTTGACTCATTCTTTAGTCGACTTGAGTGCGTGTTATATATTATTTTTTACCTTAATTATCTCACAGTTTATATGTGCTTGATTATGAAAGGAGATGGATTTTAGTCAGCCAGTTAACTTCCATTTTGATTTTGGATTTAAGGATTAATACTCAACTGTGAGGAGATGGATTTTAGTCAGCCAGTTAACTTCCATTTTGATTTTGGATTCAAGGATTAATACTCAACTGTGAATTGATGTTTTTGTCTGGTAAATTCAGTGCTTTATCTGGCTAGATGAAACATGGACACAGTTTTACCTTGAATCATGTTAACTTATACTCATTTTTCTATGTTTGGTCACTTTTCTCTTCAACTTTAATAAATAGCAGTGAATTATTCTTATCATGTTCATTAGCTAAATAAGTAGTATATTTAGAGTATTTGGTTTTCATGATGTTGTTTTATGTCCTTGGAAAAGCAGTCTAAAAGGTTTTTTTTCTGTTCTTTTTAGTTAGTTGATACTACTGTGGAGTTGGCAAACAAAGTAGGTGCAGCAGAAATTATATCCAGGATTGTGGATGATCTGAAAGATGAAGCTGAACAGTACAGAAAAATGGTGATGGAGACAATTGAGAAAATTATGGGCAATTTGGGAGCAGCAGATATTGATCATAAACTTGAAGAACAACTGATTGATGGTATTCTTTATGCTTTCCAAGAACAGACTACAGAGGTAATGATAACTAATTATGGCACATTGCTACTGACTTTAATATTTGTAGAAAAACGTATTAGTTGTCAAGCAAATTTTTCTAGAATGCAATTGAATTTGAAGTAATTTTTAATATGCTCACTCGGTTACCAAAAAATGCTATTCTACCTCAAGTTTTAAGATTTGATGTAAAAAAACAACCACAGATGTTTGGGTGGTTAGAAAAGGTTGACTATTAGTATATTTCAACTGTGCAGTCATAAACCAAATGAATGTGTCTTTTTTTAAAATTTATTTTTTAGGACTCAGTAATGTTGAACGGCTTTGGCACAGTGGTTAATGCTCTTGGCAAACGAGTCAAACCATACTTGCCTCAGATCTGTGGTACAGTTTTGTGGCGTTTAAATAACAAATCTGCAAAAGTTAGGCAGCAGGCAGCTGACTTGATTTCTCGAACTGCTGTTGTCATGAAGACTTGTCAAGAGGTAAACTTCTTTTTCAAATTATTACTTCTTCACCAAATAGTTTAATGTAGATAGTAACATTTTAACATTATTTGTTTTATTATAGGAAAAATTGATGGGACACTTGGGTGTTGTATTGTATGAATATTTGGGTGAAGAGTACCCTGAAGTATTGGGCAGCATTCTCGGAGCACTGAAGGCCATTGTAAATGTCATAGGTATGAAATTTGCTGGTTACATAAGACTTTTTCTTGTTTTAATTTTCTTTTTCTTTTTTTTTTTGTAAGTAAAGTCTTATTTAGGATTTGGGAGGTTTTTGTTACTTTTTTTAAAAGCACTTCAAGATTGTAGTTAAGTCGGGGGATGTCACAAAAGTTTTGTTTCCCAAAACCCATTTATATTTTACTTTAAAGAGAAAAAAAGGGCAAGTTTAGGACCTATAGGAGAGGTGGGAGTAGTCACAGCTGAAAAAGCTTTGAAGTCTTGGAATACAGGACCCTAGTAGAAATAGTGTTTCAGGTGAAATATATTCTGCTATGTTCTGCTGCGAGGGGGGAAAAGGCAAACCTAAAGTTTTAATTTAGTTTTAGAACTATATGTGTATATTTAAATCTTGAATTAGTGATTATGACAGGTTTTTTACTTGCCATCAGTTTCAAGGAATATAATCAGAAAAGTGAACTGATCAAATTATTGTCTTTATTTACATACCCAAGTTTTCAATACTGTCCATTCAGTTTTCTAACCCAAAACATAGCTGTATTACAAGTGGTCTTGGATATGGAGAGCAAAGTTTTTATTCTGTTAGGGCAGTATGACAAAGAAAACAAATGGTTTCTTGTATTTAATCTTTTTTTAAAATTGATTATAACTGTTGCCAAATGTAACTCCTGCAGAGTTTAGAGGCTCTCATAACCTAGCAGAAGTCAAAATAGCTGACTGTGAGAGAGCCACTGTTTTTTCTTATTTTGTAAGAGGTATTTATGCAATATACATTTTTAAACTATTGTATTTGCATATAATCTCCAATGCAGCCCAGTGCTATACTTGAAGATAGCCACTTGCCAAAAATCATTTACATGGCCACTTGTAGGGCTCTGGTTTGCAGGGAGTTTTAAACCATATTGTTTGTCAGAGAGGCATGGGAAGAGCAATGGAGAGAGAATCAGAGCAAGTGATTCTAGTTAGAGCAAGAGCCCCTGCCAGCTGCCTCCTTTTTTCTCTCTTCATAGGTGTAAATACCATCCAAGTATGCCCTGCATTGCAGGGAGACTGGAGATCTGTTTGTTTTGCAGTTAAAGGGTAAGGGGGCCCTTTCTGGAAATTTTTGCTTTATTTACATGTTTACCTCTGGCTTATATTGTTGTGTACGGCCGGAACATAAGCTGTCCCCATATTTAAATGTCAGTGCACAAATACATTTCAGAACCAAACAAAACTTTTTTGTTATTGAGTATCCATCATTCTTTAAATCACTTCACTGATTTCTTTCATTTCTATACATAATCAAAAATTGTTAATAAAAGTTAAAAACGATTCTGAGTCTGGTCAGAATCCGGGGCTTTCTCTTTCCATAGGCAGCTGTAAGTTTATATTTATGCATAGTCACATATGACGTTGCTAAGTAAAAGGAAAGTGAACAAAAGTTGCAATTCAAATGTTGATAGTTTATTGACTTCTATTAAATAGGTATGCATAAGATGACTCCACCAATTAAAGATCTGCTGCCTAGACTCACCCCCATCTTAAAGAACAGACATGAAAAAGTACAAGAGAATTGTATTGATCTTGTTGGGCGTATTGCTGACAGGTAAGCAGATTACCCACACATTTTTATAAGCAGTATCAATTTTCAAATTTGGCCACTTTGTATTCAATTAGCAAAATTTTCTTAATGTCACTAATACAAGTGTATATGATTAGGCTGTCTAGTATTAATATTTTCAGTCAAATTTCAATTTGGATGGTAATGGGGTGGCCATGTAATTTTAGGACTAAACCTGTAAGACTAACTCTTCAGCCTTTCTGAAGAGTAATAACTCTTATTTAATGCTTAAAATGAGTTAACAATCATGTTTTTAGAACTGAATTTGCAAATTTATCCTTAAAACTTTTCCTAATGTCACAAATAATATGTGTATTTTTTAAATTAGGGGAGCTGAATATGTGTCTGCAAGAGAGTGGATGAGAATTTGCTTTGAGCTTTTAGAGCTCTTAAAAGCCCACAAAAAGGCTATTCGTAGAGCCACAGTCAACACATTTGGTTATATTGCAAAGGCCATTGGGTGAGTGTCACTTACTTCCATTAAAAAAAAAAAAATTATAATAAATTCGTTGTGGTATTGAAAAATACTTCATGTAGAAATCTCTTTTGAGGCATGGTCTGAATAATGCAGTTGAGAAAGCTCTTCATTTAACCATTGACCTTCTGATTTTTGGAATGTATTCTTAAATTCAATTTGTGTTTTTTTTTTTTTGAGACGGAGTCTTGCTCTGTCACCCAGGCTGGACTGCAGTGATTTGATTTCAGCTCACTGCACCCACCACCACCTCCCGGGTTCAGGAGATTCTCCTGCCTCACCCTCCCCAGTAGCTGGGACTATAGGCATGCGCCATCACACCCAGGTAATTTTTGTATTTTTTAGTACAGATGAGGTTTCACCATGTGGGCCAGGCTGTTCTCGAACTCCTGACCTCAAGTGAGCCACCTATCTTGACCTCCAGAAGTGCTGAGATTACAGGCGTGAGCCACCACACCCAGCCGGTAGTCTTAAATTTTTAATTGAATTAAAATAGATGGAAGGGTTTAAGATTTACTTTAATTATACTTTAGGTGTTTTCAGGGAGGGAAACAGTACCATTTTCAGAAAAATACAAAATGTGTGCTGGTCTTTTAGGATATTGCTTAAACTATTAAGGCAAATTTTTAGTCTCACAGCATCATTTAAGTCTCATATTAATGCTTTATGTGTTTTAAAAGTTGTATTATGGATTGTTTGAGCTCAGGAGTTTAAGGTTACAGTGAGCTGTGATTGTGCCAGTGTACTCCAACCTGGGCAACAGGGCGAGACCCTGTCTCTAAAAAAAAAAAAAACACAAAAATGCTATTCTAACATTACTCCGCGGATTTAACTGAATTATAGCTGCTTTGTGAGATAATCTATGGTGGTTTGCTTCCATTCCATCACAACTAAAGTAGGAAAAAACAGTCATTATAGAAAACGAGACACCACATGTCCATGTGGCTTAAGAAAATGTGTTCAAGGAATATGACATGTGAACGTCTGATTAATTAGGTAGAATTAACCAGACCACACCCCCTCCCCTAACACACACTAATTTCTCTCCTATTTTGGTAGCATAATATTTATTTCAGTGGTGATGGAGTCAAGAAATTTGTAGTGAATAGCTGTTGTGCAAGCTTTTATCCCCAATGTCCCTCTAAGTTTATGTCAAAGAAGAGGCAAATAGATGCAGCAAATTGTGTAGGAGGGAAGATAAAAGAAAAGAGATTTTATATGGTTTATAATGGGAGACCACAATTCAGATATTCCCCTCACCACTGCTACCTAGTTCTAGTGCCCATTTTGACAACTCAGAATTACTCACTTTAAACATTTAGTTAAATTTCTTTATATTTCAGAAAGTTTAAAAACTGAAAATTACATATGAAAATTAATTTGAGTTAACTTAAATTTTTTTTTTTTTTGAGAAGGAGTGTCACTCTGTCACGCAGGCTGGAGTGCAATGGCATGGTCTCAGCTCACTGCAACCTCTGCCTTCCAGGTTCAAGTGGTTCTCCCACCTCAGCCTCCCAAGTAGCTGGGACTACAGGCGTGTGCCACCACACTCGGCTAATTTTTGTGTCTTTAGTAGAGACGGGGTTTCACTATGTTGGCCAGGTTGGTCTCGAACTCCTGACCTCGTGATCCGCCTGCCTCGGCCTCCCAGAGTGCTGGGATTGCAAGCGTGAGCCACTGCATCTGGCCAAAATTTTTAAAATTTGTACAGCTGTGACCTCTGATCTTCTCAGGGTTAACTTTTTTAAACTGACCTTTTAATTTATATGAAATTTTAATATAGAAACAATGCCAGTGACTTGGAAGTATTGGGTTTTATAAAATTACTGAGTTCCCTGTAATTATTAATATTTAAAAGTTTTCATCTTTATGCATTTTTTTCTTCCATAAATTTTTGACTTATAATGTAACAGCTTGTTGACCCATTTTTTTTTCAGCCCTCATGATGTATTGGCTACACTTCTAAACAACCTCAAAGTTCAAGAAAGGCAGAACAGAGTTTGTACCACTGTAGCAATAGCTATTGTTGCGGAAACATGTTCACCCTTCACAGTGCTCCCTGCCTTAATGAATGAATACAGAGTTCCTGAACTGAATGTTCAAAATGGAGTGTTAAAGTCACTTTCCTTCTTGTTTGAATATATTGGTGAAATGGGAAAAGACTACATTTATGCTGTAACACCGTTACTTGAAGATGCTTTAATGGATAGGTAAGTGACTTGAACTGATGATAAGAAAATAATTATAACTCTTCCTTCATTTTAGAATATCCTGAAATAGTTATTAGATGACTTTTTACTGTAATGTAGTTAAAGAAAAAAATGCTAGCCTGGAGTCTTGGGACATTGTAAATATGACTTATTATTTTAAAATAATGTGCACACTGTAGTGATTCCCCAGACTTCCTTTCAAGTTCCCCCACCCCCTTTAAATCTCTTTTCATATCTGTTGAAGTAAATACATTTTGAAAAGGGTTGATTGATAATCTTTTGTTTTCAAAATTGGTCAAATATAGTTAGAGGACATGATGAGCAGGAGCTAATCAGTGTGGCAGCGACCTGATCTTTTTAGCTTTTTATTGCAGGTAAAGGATAGGTTTCTCTTAAGCCTTTGAATTACTGAACATAGCCTGCCAGAGCTACACTCTTCCTATTGCAGGTCCCTGGTGTTTCAGATAGTGACCACCAGTACAGTACTGTTCGAGTTATTTGACAGCTAATACCTTTTTACCATCTAGACTGATGCACAGCCTTAAACACAGAAGTAACTGAAGAAAGTGCAAAGGAAAGTACAGGCATAGTAAGGGAAAGAACTGTTTCACTGGCTCTTTATTTTTCAGGAGAGAGAAGTTACTCAAATCAGAGCCCATTCACATACTTTTGTGTACAGATTAAAGTTATTCATTAATAACCTTCTGAAAGGGAGACTTAACTGGACTTGACAAGTTACCAGAAAGTGTATATGCAAGACATGGAAGCAAAGTAAGAATTGTGCTCTGTAAAAGCCTGGCTGCCCAGGGCTAAAAAAAATGAGGGTAAATCACCCTTGCTCCATATTCCTCAGTGAGAAGTGCGTGAGGACCATAGTGCAGTCATTAATGTATGTCACCTGCAGTTAAAAACTTTGTTCTGTGTACTAAGAAGTGGAGGGAGTAATTCCATTGAAAATTACTAAATGAAAAGAATACTTCAGTTGGAAATTTTATTAATGAGGAATACTGCTTCATTCTTATGCTGAATGACATTATTAAAATAAATAAGAAAAACAAGAATATTAGTAAATACAAGTGTTTTTCTCTTTTGATGTGGTCTGTGCTACTATCTTTGGAGCAAAGTGTGGAAACTCATTTTGTTTTTTAGACAGACTTTCGCTTTGTCGCCCAGGCTGGAGTACAGTGGCACGATCTCGACTCACTGCAGCTTCTGCCTCCCAAGTTCAAGTGATTCTCCTGCCTCAGCTCCCAAGTAGCTGGGACTACAGGCACGTGCCACCGTGCCCAGCTAATTTTTTGTATTTTTGGCAGAGATAGGGTTTCACCATGTTAGCCAGGATGGTCTCTATCTCCTGACCTTGTGATCCACCGGCCTTGGCCTCCCAAAGTTCTGGGATTACAGGCATGAGCCACTGTGCCTGGCCTGGAAACTCATTTTCATACCCGTTGCAAATCCCAGTGTGTTAGCCAATGAGCTCATACTTGGTTGAATAATTGTGGAATGAATAACTGATTGATTTTTCATGAACATAAACTCAGTTAACATAGGAGATGGTAGTTACTTCTGTAGGTTTGAAAAAATTGTTGATCTTTTCTTCCTCTCCCCAGATTGAGTTATTGAAACTTAAACTTTACGTGAGAAGGGAATTTAATTTTAATTTAGTTACCTATTATATCCAGTATCTGAAGTACTAGTAAAGATTTAAGTTTATAATCAAGAGTTTAAAATGATTTGGGAGGCCAAGGTGGGAGGATCACTCGACCCCGGGAGCTCAAGATCAGCTTGGGCAACATAGCGAGGCCCTCCCTATCTCTAACAATAAAAATTTTTTTAAATAATTTTTCTTTTTTCTTTTTTTTTTTGAGACAGAGTTTCGCTCTTGTTGCCTAGGCTGGAGTGCAACAGCATGACCTCGGCTCACTGCAACCTCCGCCCCCCAGGTTCAAGTTATTCTCCTGCCTCAGCCTCCCGAGTAGCTGGGATTACAGGCGTGCGCCAGAACGCCTGACTAATTTTTGTATGTTTAGTAGAGACGGGGTGTCGCCATGTTGGCCAGGCTGGTCTAGAACTCCTGACCTCAGGTGATTCACCTGCCTCGGCCTCCCAAAGTGCTAGGATTATAGGCATGAGCCACCATGCCCAGCCTGAAAAGTAATTTTAAAAAAGAGAAAAAAGTTTAAAATAAGATATTACCGTTTGTTATTCATACATTAGAATCACATACCTCCTCTTTAATAGCATAATAAAGCCAAGACTTCACAGAGCCCTCCTGCTCATATTCCTTCTAAAAGTTAATTAGAAGGCTAGGTGCGGTGGCTCACGCCTATAATCCCAGTACTTTGGGAGGCTGAGGCGGGCAGATCACAATGTCAAGAGATCAAGACCATCCTGGCTAACATGGTGAAACCCTATCTCTGCCAAAAATACAAAAAATTAGCTGGGCATGGTGGCACATGCCTGTAGTCCCAGCTACTCAGGAGGCTGAGGCAGGAGAATTGCTTGAACCTGGGAGGCAGAGGTTGCAGTGAGCCAAGATCACACCACTGCACTCCAGCCTGGGCGACAGAGTGAGACTCTGTCTCAAAAAAAAAAAAAAGTTAATTAGAAAATATGGCTTAATTGTTGAGCCATAGTGAAGCTTGAGTCATTAAAGCAAAAGTTCTCAAGTGGAAGCATTAGTTATTCTAAAGGATATATTAGACACACGAAATGTTAGGATGACTTCACATCTATTCAGTGCACTGAATTAGTAATTTCGTTTCCAGTGGGCAGGTGAATATTTCCTGTAAAACTAAGACCATATCTTGAAGGATTTTTTCCCCTTTTATAACACTGTATCTTAAAGGACTTTTTTCCCTTCCCTTATAGAGACCTTGTACACAGACAGACGGCTAGTGCAGTGGTACAGCACATGTCACTTGGGGTTTATGGATTTGGTTGTGAAGATTCGCTGAATCACTTGTTGAACTATGTATGGCCCAATGTGTTTGAGACATCTCCTCATGTAATTCAGGCAGTTATGGGAGCCCTAGAGGGTCTGAGAGTTGCTATTGGACCATGTAGAATGTTGCAGTATTGTTTACAGGTAAGTTAAAATTTTTTTTTTTTTAATTGGTGAATTTCTTTTTTTTTTGAGACGGAGTCTCGCTCTGTCGCCCAGGCTGGAGTGCAGTGGCCGGATCTCAGCTCACTGCAAGCTCCGCCACCTCGCCCGGCTAGTTTTTTGTATTTCTTAATAGAGACGGGGTTTCACCGTGTTAGCCAGGATAGTCTCGATCTCCTGACCTCGTGATCCGCCCGTCTCGGCCTCCCAAAGTGCTGGGATTACAGACTTGAGCCATCGCGCCCGGCCTTTTTTTTTTTTAATAATACTTTAAGTTCTGGGATACATGTGCTCAATGTGCAGGTTTGTTACATAGGTATACATGTGGCATGGTGGTTTGCTGCACGTATCAACCCATCATCTAGGTTTTAAGCCCCGCATGCATTAGGTATTTGTCCTAATGCTCTCCTTCCCCTTTCCCCCCACTCCCTGTAAGTTAAAGGTTTTTAAAAGATTACTTAGCAAGAAAAGTAGTGTGTTGAATTAAGTAACTTTTCCTGATTATCAGTAGGGTATATTGTGCCATATGGTAGAACAATTGTGTGGTGACGGGGGAGTGCGTTTTGTCTCTTCCCTTTTAGCTTTGTATAATTACTAGGCCTCCCCCCCCCACTCCCCAAGGGAAATAATTTTGAATCGTATCTTTATGATTTGTTAATTTTGTTAAGGTTATGTGTGTTCTTGAAAATTGAAATAATGTAACTGTTCAATATTATTTTAGGGTCTGTTTCACCCAGCCCGGAAAGTCAGAGATGTATATTGGAAAATTTACAACTCCATCTACATTGGTTCCCAGGATGCTCTCATAGCACATTACCCAAGAATCTACAACGATGATAAGAACACCTATATTCGTTATGAACTTGACTATATCTTATAATTTTATTGTTTATTTTGTGTTTAATGCACAGCTACTTCACACCTTAAACTTGCTTTGATTTGGTGATGTAAACTTTTAAACATTGCAGATCAGTGTAGAACTGGTCATAGAGGAAGAGCTAGAAATCCAGTAGCATGATTTTTAAATAACCTGTCTTTGTTTTTGATGTTAAGCAGTAAATGCCAGTAGTGACCAAGAACACAGTGATTACATACACTATACTGGAGGGATTTCATTTTTAATTCATCTTTATGAAGATTTAGAACTCATTCCTTGTGTTTAAAGGGAATGTTTAATTGAGAAATAAACATTTGTGTACAAAATGCTAATTTGTGTGTGTTTTTTGAACATGACTTGTAAAATGCAGAACTTTGATAAAGTATTGGTTTATGTGGAATAAGTGGCTTAATTTCATTTTCTGTCACCTGGTTAATAGGAAGTAGTTAGCCAAATAAAAATTATATGAAGTGATGGCATCTTTGTCAAAATTCCATTGTTCTGTTAATAATGACAGCAAGAACAGTAGCCTCAGGAGGTGTTCCCCTCAAACTAGCACAACCATTCCATCATCATAGAAAAGTAGCACTTATTGCTAAACTGTCTTGAATATTTTGTACTTACATAGCGCCTTTCATCTCTTGATTTCTCAAAATGCTTTATGAACATGTTTAAAGGAAGTGGTTTAAGTCTTGTCCAACGCTTGAAAGTCTGCTGTGTTTAACAAGTGAGGAATTTAACTTTACTTCAAACCTGCTTTCTGCCTATTAGGAGTGAGGATACCTAAGTAATGCTGATAGAACGGATTCCTTATGTACTGTGATAATATACAGTGGCAGCAGCTAAAATGTCTAGGTTTGCTTAGCTTTGTATTCAGTAATAAGTTGATCTAAGAGTTCAGCATAAACTGAATGAAATGCCATTTAATGATAGAGGAACCAAGCATTAAGGCAGTACTAGACTTAATTTTTTTAGCAAATATGTAAAGTATATTTTGAACCTTTTATAATGTTATGGCCCCAAATTTCTTGGTGTTGGCCTTTTTACTACCTATACTATTTTTACTATTTTGTTTTGTTTCCATGTGGTAGTACTTCTGTGAACGCTAAAGAGAAAATAAATTCTGCAAACAGCATTAGCATATAACTACTACTGTAAGTAAAACTGCCTGTTAACACTTGAGTTCCTGCTTCGGAAGCTTAGTTAAGAAACAGCTTGTGGCTGGGCACGGTGGCTCACTCCTGTAATCCCAGCACTTTGGGAGGCCAAGGCGGGCCACGAGGTCAGGAGATCAAGACCATCCTGGCTAACACAGTGAAACCCCTTCTCTACTAAAAGTACGAAAAATTAGCCGGCCGTGGTGGCGGGTGCCCGTAGTCCCAGCTACTTGGGAGGCTGAGGCAGGAGAATGGCGTGAACCCGGGAGGCGGAGCTTGCAGTGAGCCTCGCGAGAAGGTGCCACTGCACCCAGCCTGGGCGACAGAGCGAGACTCTGTCTCAAAAAAAAAAAAAAAAAAAAAAAGCTTGTAATTGACTTTCAACAAATCGATACTGAGCATTAATGGTTTCCAACTTGAATTTGTAATTCCTCATCATTCCTTGTATGACAACTTTCTGAAAATATGTCACTATGTAGTTAAATTAAACACTCCAAACTCATCTTTCTGTTACAAGTTTTCAGCAGTACTTCTTTTTTTTTTTTTCCAATTCAGATATTTTTAAAATATTTTATTGGTGTCAATGTATAATTTTATTACATGGATATATTGCATAATGGTCGAGTCAGGACGTTTAGAGTATCCATCACTGAAATAACGTGCTAAAGTATAAAAAAAAAAAAAAAAAAAAAGACAAATCAGCAGTACTTCTATGCAACTTTAACTCTCACTGCTCTCTATAGTTGATGTCAAATGACCTTCAGTAATGACTGAGAATTGAATACAAATAGATTACAAAGCCAAAATTTGATGTTGTATCACTTTGGAAATTTTAATTATATTTTCAGTTCAAGTACTTAGTAGCTTACGTTTGCTTGGCCTCTGGCTTTTTATGGAAAATAGGCTTTGTAGTGGCAGTGTGGAGCAAAGGAGACTGTTAACACCTTAAGTAACTTTTTTTACTGATGCAAATAATTTGAGGACAGGAGGGAAGTAGTGAAAGCTATGACCTAAAAAATTGGGACCAAATAGAGGCTCACAGATACTTGGATTATTTTATGTGCTTATTATTAGATAAGGAAAGCATTTTGTGATACATGGAAGACGCTATGTGAAGTTTTACCTATCTTCTAAAAGACCTTTTCTTTCGTATTTTCTTTTGGTGTTTCTTAAAGCCAAACTAAGAAGGAAATGTTCTTAGAGACACAGGGTGGGTTTTTCTGTGGGCCTTTGTTGGTTTTTCTGTGGGCCATCACCCTCTAATGGAATTGATCTCTGGCTGTTTGGTTTTTTTCATATTGTATTTTTAAAATTTGTTGTACAGTGCCCTGTGAGCACCAAGTATCACTAGATGAATAAAACGTATTATATCTAAAGTCTTAGTAGACCAATTTTTAATCTTAGTTGACTCTGTATTGTTATCACACTGCACTCTGTTGTGGTTGTGCCATTTTTGCAATATTGAGCTCTTTCGTTTGTTTTCAAAATAAGGGAACTTAATGTTGAAAAACCAGAGAACTTTTTCTTAATAAGAAACTAAAAAAGTTGCAGCCACATAGGTTCAGTTCGGCTCTTTGGTTTCCAGTGGCTTTCAGATCCCCTAAGGTTAAAAGAAAACACTACAGCTACCCTGGGGTTTCTCAACCTTGGCATTATTGACATCTTGAATCAGTAAGTCATTGTGGGGGTGCTGTCCTGTGCCTTGCAGAATGTTGAGCAGTGTTCCTGACCTCTACCTGTGAGATGCTAGCAGCACACCCTCATCTCAGTGTTAAACCAAAAATGCCTCCAGACATTGTCTCATGTCCCTTGGAGGGCAAAGTCTTCCTAGGGTAAGAACCACTGAGCTAGCCTTAGACCATTGTTTAAGCAGAACTTACATGTTTAATAAAATTAAAGCATGATACATAAAACATTTGATTTTAGGCAGCAGTTATCTAGGAAGTAACTAGAAATGCAACTTAGCAAATACTTAAATGCCTACCTTGGGCTAAAGCTCCGCATAAGTCTTGGGGAAAGTAAGCAGTGAAAATGTGAGATGACCCCACACTGGTCCTCAGAGCATCTTGTGACAGTTGGGAGCCGGGTGGGCAGCTTGGGCAGGAGTGCTGGAGGTGGCTTGGTGCTCCACTTGGGATGCTGGTCTTCAAGCGTTGGATTCTCACCTGTGAGCTGGCGATAGTGGGTTATATGGTATGGCTGGAAGAGGAGGGCAGGCAGGGTACAGAAACCCCTTCCTCACGTTTCAAAAATTTTGGATAGGAAGCCATGGAAGGAATTTAATGAGACTTGATAGAGAATGTAGGTTTGCAAGGCAGTCAAGATTTGTAGGCAGGAGGGAATAAGTAAACCAGAGTAGTGAGTGTAGTCAGTGACATCTCTAGTGTTCCTGCTAGAATAAGTTTTAAAATTTATTTTGTGAATTCTAAAAAGATTTTCATAAAAGCACATGCTTGGGCCTTATGTTGGACAGTTACTTTTTTTATAGCCTGGCTGATTAATGAAGTTCTAGAAGGAAATTTTAACATGTTAGCTGAGAGGCTGGTGAGGGGATTTAATCTAAATAGGTTTGTGCTAGGAAAAAACTTTTAAATAGAAGAAATTGTTCTATAACTCTGCCCAAACTTTGAAAAAAGTTGAAAGACTATTACAATGAGCAACCGTATATTTTCTACTTAAATTCAACAATTAAAATCTTTGCTATTTTGCTTTTATATGTTTATTTATTTATTTATTTTTTATTTTTATTTGAGACGGAGTCTTGCTCTGTGGCCCAGGCTGGAGTGCTGTGGCCGGATCTCGGCTCACTGCAAGCTCCGCCTCCCAGGTTCCCGCCATTCTCCTGCCTCAGCCTCCCGAGTAGCTGGAACTACAGGCGCTCGCCACCTAGCCCGGCTATTTTTTTGTATTTTTTAGTAGAGACGGGGTTTCACCGTGTTAGCCAGGATGGTCTCCATCTCCTGACCTCGTGATCCGCCCATCTCGGCCTCCCAAAGTGCTGGGATTACAGGCTTGAGCCACCTCGCCCGGCCGTATTTTAAATAGTGAATTTCTTGAGACAATTTTCAAGCAGTATTGCTGAAGAAAAGTTTGGACTAGATAAAACAGAGGAGGAGGCTAATGAGCTAAACAAAGTGGGCGATTGCTTGAATGAATGATGAGGTGGAGAAGGGTGGAAATCAGGCACAGATGGAAGGGTTTTCCTGAAGAGGAGGAGCAACGTCTTTCCTGAGTCCATAAGGAAAAAGATATCGTGTGCTACAGGCATGAAAGTTCATCTATGGCATGTCAGAATTTCAAAACAGTTTTCTTGGTGCTTTAGAAACAAGTGGACACAGGAAAATGAGACTTGTGTAAAAAATTCATGCAAAAAGAAACTGGTAAAGTTTAACAGACAGTCTGGTGTCTATAGTATGTATAATGTGTAATGTATAAACTGATGCTTTGCATAGTTTTGGTCACAGAAGCAGAATATAATTTATACATTTGGGAAGAAAATCACTTAGCAACAAGATGATCACCAAGGAAGAACTGTTCACATGCCACATATCTAGGTCATTGTTACTCAAGTGTGGCCTGGAGATTGGTATCAGTGTCATATGGGGATTTTAGAAACACATGCTAGTAGGCTCCATCCGGAACCTGAATAAGAAGCTGCATTTTGGGGCTGGGCTTGGTGGCTTCGCCTGTAATCCCAGCACTTTGAGAGGGTGAGGCGAGCAGATCACCTGAGGTCAGGAGTTCAAGACCTGCCTGACCAATATGGAGAAACCCCATCGCTACTAAAAATATAAAATTTGACGGGCATGGTGGTGCATGCCTGCAATCCCAGCTACTCGGGAGGCTGAGGCTGCAGAATTGCTTGAACCCGGGAGGTGGAGGTTGTGGTGAGCCAAGATCACACTATTATGCTCCAGCCTGTGTAATGAGCGAAACTCCGTCTCAAAAAACAAAAACAAACAAAAAAACCTGCATTTTTATAAGATACCCAGGTGGTTCATGTACATTAAAATTGAGAAGCACTAGACTAGGACACCACTCCATTCTCAATGTGGCAATAACACAGTAAAAAAGGGATGGAAGTGCCTATTTGGGTGTGGAAGCAAGTGGGCCTTAGACACAGATAGCCAAGAGGTGATCAAAACACTTCCAGGAAGGTTCTTTGCTGGAACCTGGGTGAAATGAAAATAGACGGTGCAGGGAGCCTTTTTAATTTTGATAAAATCCATTGCTTTTTCCAATAAAGCAGGTCAGCATAATGTAGTTAATAAACCTCGTAGGTGTATCTCCGTATTGCTTCTGCTGCTTACTAGTTGACTGACATTGGTTGTTGGAGAGTCTTGAACTGGAAGAGGAGAGCTCACTGTCTTGACACTGGTGTGAGGTCTCCTGGGGGAGCCAGGTAGCCTTTGGGAATCCTGGCTCTGTGCCCTGACAGAAGAGTGGAACAGGAAGTCAACACAGTATAGGTTTAACAGTTGGCTCTGCAGTCAGTCCTGGATTTGTAACCTGGACATGCCACTAGCTGGTTATGTGACCTTGGGCAAGTTTTTAAACCTTTCTATGCTTCAGCTTTCTAATTTGTAGAATGGGGATAATAATAGTACCTACCTCAGTAAGTGGTGGTCCTTGTAAAGATTAGCTAAGATAATGTATATAAAGCAAAATGCCAAAGCACAGCATTTAATAAATGCAATGGCTGCTGCTGTTGACATAGTTATTTTGTTATTATTATTTTAGATATGGGGTCTCACTATATTGTCCAGGCTTGTCTCAGACTCCTAGGTTCAAGCAGATCCTCCTACCTTGGCCTCCCAAAGTACTGGGATTTGCAAGTGTGAGCCATCGCTCCTGGCCTGTTATCATGAGGGAAAAGACCTCTGTTATTGCTGACATTAGAAGGGATGGAGATTGGCAGGTGGCTTGAGGAGGAAGCACTTTGGAAATAACTCTTGAGGAAATAAAAGGCACTCATCAGGGACGTTTGGATTGTCTGGGAATCCCAAGAGATTGCAGGGTATTCTTTAGTACTGCTCAGCAGTCCAGCTGGCTAGAGAAGGTTTTTGGTTGGATTGATCTGCAGGTGCAGCAGAAGGAAAGAGAATTAGGGGACTGGTGTGAGTTTAGCTGAAGACTTAAAAGCATAGATTTGGGCCGGGCATGGTGGCTCACACCTGTATTCCCAGCACTTTGGGAGGCCAAGGCGGGTGGATCATTTGAGGTCAGGAGTTCCAGACCAGCCTGACTAGCATGGTGAAACCCTGTCTCTACTAAAAAGGCAAAAAAAATTAGCCAGGCATGGTGGCGCATGCCTTAGTCCCAGCTAATCGGGAGACTGAGGCAGGAGAATCGCTTGAACTCAGGAGGCAGAGGTTTCAGTGAGCCAAGATCACGCCACTGCACTCCAGCCTGGGTGACAGAGCAAGACTCTGTCTAAAATATATATAAATTTGCTCTTTAAATCTTCAAATCATTTTAGATGGAACTAGTGTCATTCAGTGGTTAGAAGCACCTGAGAAGCACACCCACTAAGTTTTATTTCTCTGGGAATAGTGACATGATTCTACCCTGAATGCTAAACAAATGAGATCTATAGTCCAATATATTTTCATTTTCTAATGGGGATTTTTACATTTTTTTTCTTTAATTAATATATTTGAGACAGTGTCTTGCTCTGTCTCCCAGGCTGGAG